CTCCCGAGTAGCTGGGACTGCAGGCGCCCACCACCACACCCAGCTATTTGTATTTTTAGTAGAGGTGGGGTTTCACTGTGTTGGCCAGGGTAGTCTTGCTCCTGACCTCAAATGATCCATCTACCTTGCCTCCAAAAGTGTTGGGATTACAGGCGTGAGCCACTGCCCTTGGCCGGGAATTTACTTTTTGATTACTTGAATGCCCTTAGACTTCTTATATCCAAGGCATATAGGAAATGAGTTGATGACCTTGCGGCTCTACCAGCAACTCTGAGAGTTATGCAAGATTGTTGAGATCTCCAATGACAGGAAGAGGGCAACAGACTTAAAGTAAGGTAGAAAGGGTTGTGGTTATTTATATATTATGAAGTGATATTTGCTCTAAAGGAAATTCCAGACTATTAGTCTGTTTCTGATTTTTAATAATTACATAGGCCAGGTGCGGTGGCTCACACCTGTAATCCCAGCACTTTGGGAGGCCAAGGTGGGCGGATCATTTGAGGTCAGAAGTTCAAGACCAGCCTGTCCAACATGGTGAAACCCCATCTCTATTAAAAGTACAAAAAATTTAGCTGGGGGTGGTGGCGCACACCTGTAATCCCAGCTACTTTGGAGGCTGAGACACGAAAATCTCTTAAACTGGTGAGGTGGAGGTTGCAGTGAGCTGAGGTCACACCACTGCACTTCAGCCTGGGCGACAAAGTGAGACTCTATCTTAAAAAAAAGAAATACACACACACACACAGACACACACACACACACACACACATATAATAATTTTATAGTGAGCAAAATTGTTAGTTGATTTGATTGTGGAGATACCTGGAAAATCTTTCTTGTCATATTATTGTTTTAATTTTTTTTAACCACCTGAGGAAATACAGTGACATATTATTGTTTTAGGAACTCTCAGCAACTACTTTACTTTCTCTTTTGTTTGTGCTTTTATTTTACAAAGTTAGGTCAAAGCTCATTTCCAGTCCAGTCGTTGAGGTTCACTGTTTGCTATCTCACTTGCAGAAGATACCTCTAGCTAGGGAACATTTACTGGGCACCATGGGAATTCAGGCCAACAAGAAGGCTGAGACACCAGACAAAATGCCACAGCACAGGGATCATTGTAGGAAAATGTTTCACATTTCAGTTTTAAAGTTTCTGCTGTTTTAAAGTCCAGAATACCCAGTAAGTAACTGCAATTTATAATTAAAGTAGAATGCAGAAGACTACTATCATCACATTCTTTAATAACTTTTGATACTACAAAAAATTTTAATTGACATTTATTAAGTGCAAACCATATTTGAGGACTAACTAGTTTATACACATGTTGAGGTTGATAAAGTCCAAATTCTGTTTTAGGAAGTTAGCAATGAATTGAGTTCATTTTAACTGAGTGTTATTATAAAAGATGGTTTTCTTGCTGCAATATAAATCTGCTATTAAGAAATTAGCAAAGTGGCTGGTGCTGCTTGTGCCTTTAAGATCATAGTTCAAAAGAATTAAGCAAACTTGATAACAAAGGTAAAACAAACATAACCTTTATTCTCTCTCAAAAACCCAGAGAATAGGGCCTGGAGCCATATTCATTAATTTAAACAGAATCAGAATACCTTAACTTTCATGGTCTCATTTAAAATTTTATAGCAATAGATTGATCATTCTAAAAATAACAAAATACATGTTTCTCTCAACTACATAGTAAAAAATTGTATTAAATTCTGTTACCCAAAATTGAGGAGGGCTGGGCTAGTAAGCCGCTCAAACATTTGTAACAAATAAACATTTCTCTATGTACACATAATGATCATATTTTCATAGCATAAAATCACCATACAAAATCTAATAATAAAATTATGTTGTGTTTAGAAGTTTGGAAGCCAATACATGGAATTAACAAAGTATTTTTTGGTATCTGTAAATAATGGGATAGAATCTCTTAAATCAGGACTGTCCCAGAAATTTTAAGGCAGATGTCAGTGACATGCACACTGTCTATTGTTCAGAATGTTCAAAGAACTAGAATAAACTATGTAAACTATTCAATACAATTCAATATTGCTTTACTGCTAAAAAAAATACTTCAAGATCTTGCACTGCGTTAAGTGAATGAGTATCATCAAATGAGTAGTAACTGGAAAATAGCTATAATAGCAGGCACTGAAGAATTCTGACAAATACCAAATAACTGTTTGCTTTTAGCAAATAAACTGGTAAGATGATATCACAAAGGGCTTTTTTTAACGTTCTTTTGCCACACAAGGTTTTTTTTTTTAAATAAAGCTATTGCTCCTTAGAATAACTTTAAACATATTGACTGATGTTAGTCAATCGACAAAATCAATTGAATGCTTTTAGTTGAGTTTTAATGTCATCTCAAAGATTCAAATAATCTTAAGATTCTAGTTTACATATAAGACTATATATGCCTTTGCCTTGATTGAAATATGATTACTAGAAATCAACAGATTTCATTTGAAAACATAAATTTTTTTTTTCTAGATCCAAGGAAAAAGATTTGAATGAAGCCCTTTCTAATCACACACACACACACACACACACACACACACACACACAATTAAATGACAAAAAAGAATGAGCTAGGAGACACAGATGTGACTTTAGGGAAATTACTTTCCCTCGAAGATCTCTTCCAGCTATCTGATTCTACGTTAAAGCATTTCCTCTGAACTGTACAAACTGGCCTCACATTTTCGAGTTTCTGCACAGTACCTGGCTTTTATACAGAAATATCAAATGAATAACATAAACCCTGACTTACAAATCTGTATGCCAACTAGTTTTCCCCAGATAGTGGTTTTTTAAAATTCATTCAAGTCATCAAGAGCTTCTGACATTCAAGGCAGAGTGCCAGACCAAACCTGGAACATCATGGTTGTCACTGCCCCTGGGAACAAATTGTTATCTGAAAAAGTGAACTCAGGTGACTGCTTCAGGCCCAACCTGGTTCAGCGTCGTGATTCCCAAATTTGAGGGAAAATGGGAATCTCCAGAGGAGTTTGTTAAAACACAGCTTCGAGGATGTCACCCCAGCCTTACTGTGTCTGAATCTCTAGTTGGTGTCTCCTAATCTAGCTGCATATTTAACAAGCATGCTCTCCCTCACGCCTCCATGTCTCTTCAAGTAATGTGTGGGCCTCACTCTCCATTCCAACCCACTCTCCTCCCAAAGAAAAGACCACCACTGTGCTGTAGTGACAAAAGCTCTGGACTTAAGAGTCAGAAGTCATTTGCCAGTTGTCTGATCTTAGTTACTTCACATTGCTAGGTCTCTCAATCTCTTTCTTTAATAGGGGTTGGACAGGAGTCTCCATAGGGATCCCTTCCACTCTCAGATTGAAGAACCTAACATGGCAACTCGGTGTCGTGAAGGAGGTGAGGAGAATTTGCAAGGATGTTTCACTCTGTAGTCAACATCCCTCCCCACAGCAAGACAGTCTAGCAAGCCCCACAAGGGCAAGGGGGTAATTCCCTTCTCTGGTCCCCTCATTCACAAAGGGAGAAAAGCGAGGTGAGGTTGGAATCGGGTGAGGGGCGAGGGGGAGATGCCAAAAGAAGCTCGCAAGAGTTTTGGCAAGAAGCAGGAAGGGTCCCTGGAAAGCGGAATCACTCCTCGTCGTCGTCGTCGTCCTGGTCCTGGTAGCGAATGTAGACGACCAGCATGACAAAGCCGATGAGGATGCAGAGGGAGCCGACGACCAGGTACGCGATGCCCAGGAAGGGGTTCTTGCCGCCCATCCACGAGATGCTGCTGAAGATGAGGAGCTTGTGGCCGTCGAACGCGCGCACCGGGTAGTTGTAGGTGATGTTGACGCGGTAGGCGCCCCGCGGCAGCCCGGCCGAGTAGTTGCCCTGGCGGATGCGCGCGTACAGCTTGCGGAACGTGGGCAGCGCCGCCGTGCGCATCCACACCACGAAATCCTGGTTGATGAAGCCGGTGTTGTTGGGGTCGGGGCTGAGCTCGTAGACCGGCCGGCGCCAGTTGGGCGGAGGCGCCGTGCCTTGGAAGGCCAGCGCCAGGCTGCCGTTGACCAGCGGCGGGTTGCGGAACTTGACGTGGTAGTCGGTCCACCAGGCGATGCCGGAGCGGTCGAGCGGCACCTCGACGTAGGGCCCGCCGGGCTGGCGCTGGTGCCACAGCGAGAAGGAGTCGTTGAAGAGGCTGTTGGCGATGGCGCCGCAGGGCGCGATGGGCAGGCCGGCCGCGCTGCGCTGGTAGGGGGCGCACTCGTTGGCCGGGTGGCGCAGCGCGCTGGGCATCCCGCTCAGCTGCTCGTCGTCGCGGGACACGCCGTAGCGCCGGTTGTTCTGGTAGAAGTTGGTCAGCTCGTAGTAGAGGTAGACGGGGCCCTGGAAAAGCTCGGGCAGCGAGAAGTACCAGGCGCACGAGCAGGGGGGCGGCGGCGCGCGGCCCTCGCCGGCCGCGGCGCACACCGAGCAGTTGCCGGTGTCCTGGTCGCCGGTGTAGTCGTACTCCAGCTCCTTGATGCCGTTGGAGGAGTAGTAGAGGCCCAGGCCCAGGCCGATGAAAGCCAGGCCCGCGCAGAAGAAGAGCGGCAGCGCGATGCTGGCGGACAGCAGCGGCTGCCAGGCGGGGAGGCGCTGCTGCGTGAAGGCGGTGTTGTCGGGCTGGTGGGCGCCCCGGGCCGTGGCGCTCCAGGTCATGGCGGCCGCGCGGGGACCGACGCGCGTGCTCACCGAGGGGGGCCCAGCCGCGGGGCGCCTCCCCCTTCGCGGCGAGCTAGCCGGGGGACTGCTAGCGGATCGAGTTTCCCGCCGGCTCGGGTGGGTTTTTGCCCGAGCCCCGCCTCTGCCTCCCGCACAGGTGCGTTTAGTTCCAGATCCCACGGGCAGTGCCCACACCCCCTAGTTCCGCCTCGGCCCAGGTGCGCTCCGCCCCCGCGGATCACTGGGAGCCGCACCTCGCCCGCCCTTTCCGAGGTGAGCTTGTGGGTGTTTTTTTTTTTGTTTTTTTTTTTTTTTTTAAACTTATCTGGTAGACTCAGGCTCGCTTTTCCTGTCCGTCCGGGTCACCGGACTCCAGCTCCTCCTCTCCGAGGTGAGTGGCGGTCCCGAGCTGCCTCTGAGTGGCTCATACCTGGCTCAAGTATCACCTTCCTTTCCGCCTTCCAAGTGACTAGAGGTCCTGGGCCAGTCTCCCTAAATCAAAAGGCGCTCCGGCCTCCAGCAGAAATTTCTGCTGAGGGCTTGCACCGTGGTCCTGGAAGCTTGAAGATTTCAGATTGTTAATCCTGCTTTATTTGCGGGAAAAAGTGACTCTAGACCATTTTGTCTTTTAGGTTAGCTTCAGAAACTCCTTTCGCTCAGTTTTCAGTCTCAAGTTGGAGTGTCGAGGGAATTACACTATGCTAGATCTGTTTCGAATTCAACGCCTGCGTTCAAATTTTAGCTTTTTTTTTTTTTTTTTTTTTTTTTTTTTTTAAAGGGAAAATGATTTTCTGGCCAGATCACCCAGTCTGGCTGTATAACTAGGAAATGTGGAAAGTTCTCTAAAAATAAAATGATCCTTAAAAAGAATCAAAGACTGGAGAGGTCCAGAGCCTTTAAATAACTCTCTAGCTGGTGGAGAAACCAAGAAAGGAGAAAAATATGCTGGACTACATGTGATTTCTTTTTCTTTTCAGAATATTTGCCTGACTAGAGAAAGGTCCAATCCAAGGTCCCAGAAGACCTAGCTGCTATCCACAAAGACATCTGGAGTGTCTGGCCTAAGGAAGTGAACTACAAGGGTTTATAGGATTTATTATAAAAAGAACTCAAATTGGCTCCCTAAGTTGCCTGGGATTCTGGCTTTTTTTTTTTTTTTTTTTTTAACTCTAGGTTGGTGTAACATATACAAGGGACTACTGGGACATTCCGGTTTCTTACTAAGTCTTCTCTAGGTATTGTGTTCTTGCTTCTCTTCCAGCTTGTAAAATGCAAGTAATACAAATGTTTTCTCTATTACACTACATCTAGTATAATATATTGTATTCAGAAGTCATTGAAAACCCATTGAAACTTGGAAAGTTAAAATGCTTATTAAATTGAACAACAGGAATTTTGTTTGCATCTCCCAAGTGTTCAGCCCTATGCTAATTAGACAAAAAAGGATCCTTGACCTCAAGGCATTTGCGGTCTGATAGGGGACATATTAGGAGTAAGAAACAATCAAAATGGCCAATAGTAGTCATTAATCATAGCATGTAATTAAGTATCAAATTGCACTTTATAAGTCACACTAAAATTTAAAAGTAATACTGTTTTAAATAATGGAACATTGATTCCATTTTGTTGAATGAATGAAATTTGGAAGCTAGGTATTAAAGAAGACTGAGGAAAATTCAAGTGACTTGAATTTAATTCCCTCACTTCTTATACCCCAAGAGAGGAAGTTCCAAAATTCTCAACAAGTGCCCATAGTGTGATCCAGTCTTCATTCACTGTTTTTTTCAATAAAAGAATAAACAGTTCTTCGTATCATTATGGTTGAGTTCCACCCACACCTGTATCACTGAATCACTAGTCCACAACACTAGTCTCTAGGAAGGAATTCAGTTTTCACAACTTTAGCAGATTTTTGTTTGTTTGTTTGTTTTGAGAGAGAGGCATCTCCCTCTTTTGTTCAGGCTTGTCTCAAACTCTTGAGCTCAAGAGATCCTTCTGCCTCAGCCTCCCAAATTGTTGGGATTATAGGCATCATGCCAAGCCTATCTGGTAGATCTTAAGTCTTTATCTAGCAGATCACCATACCCCTAAAAGTGCAAGCCCCATTCTTGAGCTCAGAGCCTTTCCTCCTTTTCTCCTCTCCTTGGATTACCTAAAGGTACTAGTTTATTCATTCCACTAATTAAGGTAACAGATTTTCAACGTCAAAAGATAGTAAAGGCACTTTGGGAGGCCGAGGCAGGAGGATCACTTGAGCCCAGCAGTTTGACACCAGCCTGGGCTATATAAGCAGAACTTGTCTCTACAAAAAATAAAAATAAATTAGCTGGGTATGGTGGCATGTGCCTAATGTCCCAGCTATTCAAGAGGCTGAGGTGGAAGGATAGCTTTAACGAGGGATGTCAAGGCTGCAGTGAGTTATGATTACACCACTGTACTCCAGCCCTGACAACAAAAAAAACCCTGTAAAAAAAAAAAAAAAAAAAAGGAAAAAAAAATAAGGTTCTAAAGGAGAAAGACATTAGAAATGTGTGGAAAGGGAAGGAGAAAAGAAAGGCAAGTGGTAACTGTCTAGAAGAGCATGTATTCTAAAGGAAAGGCCTCTTTTATAGATGGCAGAGAAGTGTTTATTCTGAGGGAAAAAGAAAATAGTGCAGATGAGGTCAAAGAGAGGGGTCCAAGCTCACTGATGGTGCAAAGGCAGAAGCAGGCTGGAGACGCTGATCCGCCCGTCAGAGCCACTGGTTTCAGAGAACAGGTGCAGGATTATCCTACCTCCTAAATGAGAGGGCAGGGTGATAAAAATGGCCTCTGCAGAATGCAACTGGACATTAGGCTCCCACACCTCAGGCTGGGAGAAAGAAATGACTGAATATGACCAGCATATGGTTGTTTTCAGAGCAGATGAATTAGAAAGGTAAAAATTCAAGATACTACAGTCCTTGTGGAGGGGCAGCTAAAGTGATGGGCCTTAGTATTTAATCTGAATGGTGAAGAAAATGAAACCAAGCCTGTGGATCAAAAGAAAAAGAAGGTACCAGTAGATTGGCAGTCCTAATGATGTTAATTGGCAGGTGCCATGAAAGCTGGAAAGATAAAGTGCTTGTATGAGATGGGGTGTTAAAGATCTTGGAGGTGAAGCTGTACCAGGGTCCATATATACACTATATTTCCCCTACCAGCTTGTAAGTTCCGAGAGGCAGAAGACTGATATACATTGTCGTGTTCCTCAGAGTTTACTATGTAAGGAAGGTTCAGATCTCATGTCTCTCATTTTATTACACAGGTTATGATGTATTAAAGGACATTTGGATCATGTAAACTCTTTAGTAAAATAAGAAACAAGTTCACTCTAAACAATTCTTTTTTGTATCAGTATTATTTAGAGAACTCAAGAAAAGAAAAAAGTCATTTCTAGTCCAAATACTGCTAAAATCACTTCATTTTGGTGAAGCGTGGTGGCTCATGCCTATAATCCCAGCACTTTGGGAGGGTGAGGTGGGTGGATCATGAGGTCAGGAGTTTGAGACCAGCCAGGCCAACATAGTGAAACCCTGTCTCTACTAAAAATACAAAAAAAATAGCTGGGAATGGTGGCATGTGCCCGCAGTCCCAGCTACTTGGGAGGCGGAGGCAGGAGAACCGCTTGAACCCTGGAGGAAGAGGTTGTGGTGAGCCAAGATTGTGCAACTGCACTCCAGCCTGGGCAACAGAGCAAGACTTCATCTAAAAAAAAAAAAAAATCATTTTTTTTTAAATTTTATCTTCTAGATTTTATCCATGCAAATATTTAATTTTTAATTGGTTATAATTAAGATATATACACAATTATTTGAGTTGTCAAATTACCTCCTTTTGGAATGAGATGAAGAATGAAATAAATATTTTCCATGTTCCTTAATGGTGCCATTATTCCTAGGTCTATCATATTTAACTATTGTTGGACATATAGGTTATATCCAGTTTTTCAGTATTCCAAAGAATATGATAATGGCCATCTTTTTTGCATATAACCCTTTTTAAAAACTTCGTATCTCCTCTTCCCCCAACCTTTTCTTTCAGATTTTTTTCCTTAGGATAAATTTCTAAAAGTAGGAAAGGAAACTAAAGGTCAAACTCTTTAAAAATACATCCTGCTGGAGTCATATTTACACGGCCACAACAATGTATATACTTTGCCAACAAAACCAAAAGCTAACCACAGAATATATTTAGTCTATTGCTAATAAACTCTCAGATATTAGGAGAATAGTATAGGATAGGGGAAAGAATGCTGGCCTGAACTTAAGGAAGTTCAGATTCTATCCTAAAAGTTCATTAGGATATAACTATGTGACCTTGGTCAAATTGCTTAACTTCTCTGTTCTCATGATTGCTTATCTGTGTGAATGTGTTTACCAAAATGATTGACAGTGTGTCTTTTTTAAGCCAAGATTTCTGTTCCTAGTCTTCTTTTCCTTACAATGACTCATTGATTAATAGCTAACATTTGTTGAGTGCCTTCTGTGAGCCAGTGCTTTCAGTCACTGTGTAAGCACATTATATACATTGTCCTGGTCTAATTCATACACAAATGGGGGCATTCGGTACAATTATCATACTCAGTGAACTGATGCAAAACTAAGATTGAAGACAGTGCAATGGAGGCTGCCCAAGTTCTCATAGTTGTAATGGGGAGATGAGCAATTCAGAGGTCAGCCTCATCTTCAACCACACTACACTATAAAGCCTTGGCATATTTCCTCCTTAAAAGAAACTCCAAAAACCTTAACCTTGAGCCAGTGTTGATTGTTGCAAACCTTCTCTTAATACCCCAAAGATAAGCAAATTCTGTTCCATTTACACAGAGTCCCAGGAACAGCTGAGTTGCTTGTATTTTTGTTTTCACAAAAGCTTTTGCTTTTGTTTAGCATGCTCTTTTCTCTTGCTAAAATAAAAATAATTTGACTTGTCTGGCTGTTCTCAGTTTTTGCATTTATTTCATTTAATTCATGACTATTTATCTTACTATAACAGAACCTGGGTCTTTAATTGGCCTTCCCTTATATAGGTTTATACTGCTCAAGATTGTTGCCTATTACTCTGCCCATGGGGCAGCTTTTATTTAAAAAGAATCAAATTAAATTGCTTCATAAAATTACAGCATGTGCTGTAATTAAAAAAATTCAGTGTGCCTGGACTTCATTTTTCATTAAGAACTGCATTTAGCAGACTTCCGGTTTCAAAAGTTATAGAGTGGTACCCCCTAGTGGAAGATGCAGAGAAACTTTAGTTAACTAGCACTATAAGCACCAGAGGCACGAATGACAGAAGCAAATTCTCTCCACTCCTTGCTATGGTGTGTTGGTTCTTTGTCACTAACTTACTGCAAAACAGTGGTCAAAGACAGGGTGAACTATGAGCACTGTTGGATGGGTTGAGTTGCAGGGGTCAGTATAAAGTGAAAAATGGGACTGAGATAGATAACAGTAGGTCTTCAACAGCAGAGGCATTAGGTGTGGGATGGCCAGATTAAAAGACAGTTAGCAGGGCACAGTGGCTCACACCTGTAATCCCAACACTTTAGGGGGCCAAGGTGGGTGGATCACTTGAGGTCAGCCTGGCCAGTATGGCAAAACCCTGTCTACTAAAAATAGAAAAAGTAGTCAAGTGTGGTGGCACGTGCCTGTGATCCCAGCTACTCAGGAAGTTGAGGCAAGAGAATCACTTGAACCCGGGAAGCAGAGGTTGCAGTGAGCTGAGATCACACCACTGCACTTCAGCCTGGGCAACAGTGTAAGACTCCATCTCAAAAAAATTAAAAAATGGATAGGGTTAGACTTGAATTATGTGGGTAGAGTTTGGCTGTAGGGGTTGTACTTGGTGAGTTGACAGGAGAGAGACCCCAGAATAGGCAGAAGACAAGTTAGGTGACAGAATTGAGACAGAGGGCAAGAAAGAGCTCTGTACTGGAAAGAAGAGAGGAGGTTGACTCAAAACTGAATTAGGGCTGCACCCAGTGGCTCATGCCTGTAATCCCAGCAGTTTAGGAAGCCAAGGTAGTCGGCTCACTTGAGGCCAGGAGTTTGAGACCAGCCTGGCCAAAATAGCGAGACTCCATCTCTACTAAAAATACAAAATTAGCCAGGCATAGTAGTGCATGCCTGTAATCCCAGCTACTCAGGAAGCCAAGGCATGAAAATTGCTTGAACCTGGGAGGTGGAGGTTGCAGTGAGCCGAGATCATGCAACTTCGCTCCAGCCTGGGCAGCAGAGTGAGATTCTGTCGCAAGAAAAAAAAAAAAAAAAAACTGAATTGGACTGTCCAGTGTGGCCAGTGTGAGGGGCTTTATACCCAAGGTGAGGACTGGCAGAGGGAGGGGAGCACCATGACAGTGTCTGTGGAGCCAGCCAATCTTTTGAGGCTAGAAGCCACCTCCTCTGCCATCCTCTGTCCCCGATGTAGTGAAACTCATTGGTTTGGGGAAGGCTTCACCTCAGCAATCTCAGACTGACTTTACCCTCCACATAGTGACTATATCTATTTGAAACTTTAGGAACTTCCTATGTATTGGTAAATAAACATTTCAAAAATTTAAGAAAGTTATCAGATTTAAAAATTGAATAAATATATGTTGCTACATCAGAGCAAAGCCATATATTCTAATAGCCATGAACTAGGGAGGGAGGGCTGACATCCTCTAGAAAACTGAGATCCCCAACAAAGACATGCTTAGATGCCCTTCCCTGTGTGATATCATCAACAAGCCAAATATGCATACTCCCTTTTTTCATTTCCTACCCCCCCAGAACCACCAGGAAAGAAT